TAACCCCAAAAGGATCCGTAATAGATTTTTTTTTTTTTTTTTTAAGAACCACCGCTTGCATACCATCATGGAGCGGGCAAAGAACAGTGATGAATGTCAGTGAGCATCCTTACATCAGAAGGATCCTCTACAGTGCTTCTCGGATGCTGGAATCAAAGGCTTTCATGAGATCAAAGAAGTCCGTATAAAGAGGTTTATGTTGGTCCTGGAGATTTCCTGCAGCTGCCAAGCAATGATCGCATCACTTGTGCTTCCTGATGCCCTAAGCCACACAGATTCTGGGAGGAGCTCTTCAGCAAGTGGAAGGAGACTGTTCAGGAGGGTTCTCATAGTCATCCTTCCTGTGGCAGACAGCAAGGCAATCCCTTTTCAATTACCAGTCAGACTGGTCTCCTTTGTTAGAGACTGTCACAATCATGACATTCCTGATGATTTTTCCCTCTATTGTGAAGAACCTTTACAGACTAGAGCTCTCTGTTTTTATCGGTCACGAGAAAGTTTTACTCTTACAAGGCAGCTTACAAAAAGTAAATAGTAGACTTTTGATCACATTTTGGTATAGCCAGTAACTATGAATGGGAATGTAAGTTGGTCTACTCCTAGAGGTTGATGGCTGCCACTCACAAGCGTCAAGTATCTTTGGAGTTGCTTTGCAGACAAAAGCAAGTGCAATATTGGAGATTAGAGACAGAACCATGTTACATTATGTAGATTTATCCAGAGCAGCGGCTCAAATGACTACCAGGAAAAAAAAAACAAAAAACTTATCCTGAAGATAAAAAGTGACAAGTTATCTGTATTCTATGACACACCCAAACTGTAGCTTCTTTATCTCATGCCCACATTCTCTCAGAGGGAGCACAGCTCAGAGAATCTCATCTCTATGCTATGCATACATCATAGCAGTCATATGACTGTGGGCATGTACCAAAAGATTTTGTCCATCCAAGGAGCAGACCTCATAAAGGTAAAACAGGGGCATTACGGATCTTTATTTCAACTATAATAAAGTAAAAGGGACACCATACAAGAAGCAGTTTATTACAGACGTTTCTAGCAAGTTCAACAACCAACATGAAATATTTTGACTTATGAATACCTAGAAGAAACATCATGTAGAAATCAAGGCAGAAGGATATGATTTGGCCAAGTTCAGACTCTCCAGTATTTGACTGGAAGCAGGGTACAGAGGGGTGGAAATCAACCTTTTTTCTTTTTTAAAAGCTAAGAGTTGCATGCAAGTCATACCCTATGGCTCTTGATTTATTCTTGCTATACTGCTTTCCCTCCTTATGGTTCCGCCTCCTTCCCCCTGGACTTTCAGATGCTTCGTGTTAGGAAGAAAAGAGAACATGTAAAAATGCTAAGTTATATAAACACTTAACTTTAGAACAGACCAAATAAAGAGAGTCACTTACAGGCATTATGCAGTTGCTGACAGAAAAAGTCTTCTGGATTCTGAATATGAGAAACTATGCCAGAAAACCTATCTCCAACAGTTAATGCAATAGCCTTTATGGTTGAATGACTGTTGTGATCCAGCCTTTTATTTTCAACCATTATGCCTTCATTTCCTTCAGAACCTGTTTCCAACAAGGTACCTAAAAAATAACAGAAACAAGACAAGAGATTGTATTTTTCTCTTCTCAGCAAATATTATCACATTCTGTATAACAATGCCCAATATTTTAAAATAGCAGCTGAAACCAGAAGGCAGCCAAACTCTGCACCACCACATTATCACCTATAGGAAAACACACCACCCCCTCAAATCTCAATGTTAAACAAAAATGTAACTTGCTTACTCACTTTTCTCTGAATGCATTTGTTCATTGTTGCTCCTCTTTGGACTCAAGTCGGATCCCATTTCAAGAAGTATATTATCTAGGCGTTTCCCTAAAATACAAATTTGTAAGCTAAAACTAGTTTGCCATAAAGCAACAACATGCTAAAGTTCTGTTTTTAAACTAGGTTACTTCAGCAAGCTGGTGCTTAGAATATGTTTATCTGACCTGTTGGTTAATTGCCTAGCATGCATAGCCTCGGCCAAAAAAAAACCCCCTGCGAGGTTCAAGGTGGTTTGACAATTCTTTCTACAAGATGCCTCTCTCAAAAATGGTTGTTGCCTTGCTCATTTCACTTAACCAAAATATTGACACCGACAGACATAATCAATTTCAGTTTTTCAGAGAAATTCAGCTTTTTTCCTCTACAGAAAAAAACCTTGCTTACAGCACCAGAGTACAATTAATTTGAATTCAAACTTACAATTTATTTTAACTCTTAAGAAGTTAAACACCAAATCCTTCCTGGTTAGTAACATCTGTGCATCTCTCTTTTTCTTTTAAATATGAGAAGTAACAGTTCAAGATTTTCAATCTGAAGGAAGTGGGACATAATTAAAGATAAGTGATTGCATAAAACAGTTACCCATGCGTGTTGTAACTGTGAGAGATGTTACACATCCACTCCATTGCAGTTCACCAGATGTGTACACACAAATCAGAAGTTTTCTTTAGCAGCACCTACCAGAACAGTGCATACAAATTATCTGTCTCATGCTTCCAAGACAGGCAAAAGAAAGGTAGAGCTGCCCTGATCTCCACAACCTGTTAACACGTGATGGGAGCAGAATGCAGAATGTAGAGAAAAGGCGGTGGTTTATGAAATAAATTTGTATAACATGCCTCAGAAAGAAGTGACAAAAACAAATTAATACATGTTAAATGACTGCACATTTTTTGCAATGCAAACCACTTCCAAGCTGTGAGTTTTGGTGTTGGGTTTACAAGTTTATTTCAATTAGGAAAATAATCTTCATGTTAGTATTTGCCCTGAACGCAATGATGATAGCCTATGACTGACCAGTAGGCAGCAAACAGGGGCTGCAAACAGGGCAAGCAGTTTGCAGGCAGTTGCTTGGGGCAAGAAGAGGAAGGGGAAGAAAAAACCAAGCACCAGATCCTGCCCAGGGAAGATAAGTGATCCAGCTTCCTGTGCCTTTGGTTTGCTGAGTGCTTGTTTGTTGGGCTATGTGTTTGATGTGTGTGCTCTGAGAAGCTGGGAGCTGCTCACAAATGGAGTAGGACTGGTGGGGAACGTAGCAGTGGATGGCAACTTGGGCAGTAGTGGCCACAAGATTACTGAGTTTAGGAACCTGAGGAAATGAAGGATGAAGAGCAGCAGAGTAAGGACCCTGGTGGACTTCAGAGAAGCAGACACTGAATCGCTCAGGGAGCTCATGGGCAGGATCCCCATGGGAAGCCAGACTGAGGGGGAGAGGAGTCCAAGAGAGCTGGCCGTACTTTAAAGACGACTTACTGAGAGTGCAGCAACAAACTATCCTGATGCACCAGAAGACTAGCAAGTATGGCAGAAGACCAGCTGGGGTTAGCAGGGAACTCTTTGTAAACTAAATCAAAAAAAGGAAGCTTGTAAGAAGTGGAAACTTGAACAAATAACTAGGGAAGAATACTAGAGCATTGCTCAGGCATGCAGGGATGAAGGCAGGAAGGCCAAAGCGCAACTGGAGCTGCAGCTAGCAAGGGATGTGAAGGGTAAAAGAAGGGTTCCTACAAACATGTTGATAGCAAGAGGAGAATCAGGGAAAGTGTGGGTCCCTTACTGACTGGGGGAAGCAACTTTGTGACAGAGGATGCAGAAAATGTTGAAGTGCTTAATGCCCTCTTCACCTCGATCTTTACAGGCAAGGTCAGCTCCCAGACTACTGCATCTGGCAGCACAGTTTGGGGTGGAGTTGAGCAACTCGCAGTAGTGAAAGAACAGGTAGTGACTACTTAGAAAAGCTGGATGTGTACAAGTCCACGGGGCTGGATGGGATGCACCCGAGGGTGCTGAGGGATTTGGCTGATGTGACTGAAGAGCCACTGGCCATCATCTTTAAAAACTCATGGTGATCAGGAGAGGTCCTGGATAACTGGAAAAGGGCAGTGTGCATATTTAAGAAAGGGAAAAAGGAGAACCCAGGGAACTGCAGACCAGTCAGCCTCACTTCAGTCCCTAGAAAAATCATGGAGCAGATTCTCCAGGAATCCATCTCAAAGCATCTGGAGAAGAAAAGGTAATTAGGAACAGTCAGCACTGATTCACCAGGGGCAAGTCATGTCTGACAAACCTGATTGCCTTCGACGACATGGAGACTGGCTCTGTAGATGCAGGGAGACCAGTGGATATGGTGTACCTTGATTTTAACAAGGCTTTTGATATGGTCTCCCACAACATTCTTCCAGGCAAGCTAAGGAAGTATGGGCTGGATGAACAGACTACAAGATGGATAGAAAACTGGCTGGAGCATCAGGCTCAGAGAGTTGTAATCAATGGCTTGATGTCTAGTTGGCAGCTGGTATCAAGTGGAGTGACCCAGGGGTCAGTCCTGGGGCTGGTTTTGTTCAATGTCTCTATCAACGACCTGGAAGATAGGATGGTGTGCACCCTCAGCAACTTTGCAGATGACCCCAAGCTGGGCGGAGTAGTAGATATGTTGGAGGGTAGGGCTACAATTCAGAGTGACCTAGACCAATTGGAGGATTGGGCCAAAAGGAATCTCATGAGGTTCAATAAGGACAAGTGCAAAGTCCTGCACTTAGGACAGAACAATCCCATGTACCAGTACAGGCTGGGGGCTGAGTGGCTGGACATCAGCTCTGCAGAAAAGGACCTGGGGGTTACAGTGGACAAGAAGCTAAATATGAGCCAGTGTGCTCTTGTTGCCAAGAAGGCTAATAGCATACTGGGCTGCATTGGTAGGTGTGTTGCCAGCAGATCGAGGGCAGTGATTCTTCCCCTCTGTTCAGCACTGGTGAGGCCACATCTGGAGTCCTGTGTTCAGTCTTGGGCCCCCCCAATACAGAAAGGATGTGGACAAATTGGAGAGAGTCCAGCAGAGGGCTACAAAAATCATGAGGGAGCAGGGGGACATGACTTTTGAGGCGAGACTGAGGGTACTTATTTAGTCTAGAGAACAGGAGACCAAGAGGGGACTATACAGCAGCCTTCAACTACCTGAAAGGGGTTCAAAGGAAGATGGAGCTAGACTATTCTCAGTGGTGGCAGGTGACAGAACAAGGAACAATGGTCTCAAGTTGCAGCAAGGGAAGTTTAGGTTAGATATGAGGAAGAATTTTCTCACCAAGAAGGTGGTGAAGCACTGGAACAGGTTACCCAAAGAGGTGGTGGAAGCTCCAGCCTTGGAGGTTTTCAAAACCTGGCTAGACAAAGCTTTGTCTGGGATGATCTGGTTGGGGATGGTCCTGCTTTAACAGCAGAGGGCTGGACTAGATGAGCTCCTGAGGTCCCTTCCAACCCTAACTTTTTATGATTTTATTTCAGATTTGAGGCACCCACCATAACTTATGAATTGACCCCATTTCAAGAACTAGTTTATTTTTATAGTGCTTACCTGCCTGAAGAAGGGCTGGGAAGGAGTAGCAGCAGCTGGCAGGGAAACCACTGCAGGCAGTGGGGGAAAAGAAGAGCAGCTGGAAGGAAAGAGTCTCAGAGTCTGCATTTATCTATGTTCTTTCCTAGTGGTACCCTTCAAAGCTTTTGCGACACCCTGGTTAAGAATCACTGCGATTTCCAAGTTACTAGGCTAAAATGTACATGTGGAAGACCCACATGCTGCTCAACGTGTTGTCAGGAACACCAAAGTAACTCGGGCCCTGACAGAACGAGCCAATAGTTTGAAGACAGTTAGAGAGAGGAAAAGAAGAGTCTCTGTGTGAATAATGCTTTACACCCTTTTTGTTCCCAGTACAGGACATGGAAAAGCTAGGCAACACCCCTCTCTATACAGAAAACAGGGCTCAGCATTTGAAAGCACTGAAGGTTCTCTTCACCTGTACCTATATACAAAAAGCTTAGAAAAGATAGTAGGTGAGTTTAGTCTTAAAGGCTGGCTCAACTTTACACCTTAAGGGGAATTTGAGGTAAGGCCTCCCTGGGACACTGCATCTGTGAACAGGACAGTATGTGGGCCCTTCCATAATGATCTCGTTTATCCTCTCTCCACATTGATAGCTACAAAAAAGGCTCAACTGTGTGACATCAGTACAAACAGGATACCATCAAAGCCGTCAGCATGACATTTAAATTCCAAGAAAGAACTGGATCTTTTATTGCTGAATAGCATCCAATCCTAATCATAAAAAGCCGAGCAGGAAGGGGTCTTAAGAGGTCTTCTGCTCCAAAATGCTGCTCAAAGCAGGATCATGTCCAAGTCACCCCACTTTATTTCCAATTACTGCATTTTATTTCCGATGATGACTATTTTATAACCTCTCTAGATAACACCTTAACCGCCCCTCCATCCACCCCTAAATCTTCTTTGCTGCAATTTAAATCCATTACTACTTGTCCTGCCCGAAGCTGAGATAGATCAATCACAACACTCGTTGTTACAGTCTTTTTTGTATTTGAAGGTTTACAAAATACCTACCCAGGCAGCAGCATAGGGATTTCTAAAAGCAGACATTGGGACTGAGCTCTTCTTGCACCCCTTTCAGACAGCACCTGCCTCACAAGCATAGTCTTCTAAATCAATTACTAATTTAGGTTAAGATTCACCAGTCTAGGTCAGCTGTTCTGGAAGCACAAAGGGGCTAAAACTGAGTGCAACTGGTTAGTGGTCTCCTGCTACCTCATGCTGCATTACATCTCCAAGTCATTCAAAAATGTAGCATTTTCTTTGGAAGTCTTTAGTGTTTTCAATTATATTAAAAGAAGTTCTTTCCCCAAAACTCTTAAATTGGAATTAAAGTTACTGACTCATTCTTAAAAGATACAACATCCATAATATATCTTTATTATCCCAAAACCACATTATAATAAATTCAAGGCTGTGTGTACACTCAAAAATATAGACTAGTAATAATAAGTACTGCAGCCAAAAAAAAAAAAATCTTAACTCATGTTGCAGTAAGCCACAAGAGGGGAAAAATATGAAAAAAATCTGGTGAGTCTTTGAGAACCAATTTAATGAAGAAAAAGAAACCCAAACAGAACACTAAAATGCCTCACCTAGAGCCACACTTACTAACTATATCTTAACATTTCTACAGGACAGATGTTAGGTGCCTTTAGCACGCCTGAAAAAGTTCTTCAAACAAGTATGAAAAAATAATTGAAAGGGAGAATACAAGAAGCAATCCCAAACTGTAAGTCTGTATACAGAAAATGAATTAAAACAAATACTATGGGTATGGACAGACATTCGTTTCTAGTGCTACAGAGCATCTCAGCACTATGTAGCACTACAAAAATATGGCACTATGGGGGCACGTAAGTGTCCCACCCCAGCTGAAAAGCTACAAAGTTACCTCAAAGACAAGCTCTCCAGCCAGGGGGCAAAAGGAAGCTGCTCTTTTGGAGGGGGGCGTCAGTCACTGACAGCCTACTCCGTCGCCTGCCAAGAAAGTTTGTCAGTACAGAACCTGCAGCTGCCCGGCTTTGCCAATCAGATTTGCAGCAGAGCTAGAAAGAGATGAATATTCATCAATTCCAGATGAAACAAGAAGTAGTTCCTTGAAGGATTTATGAAGAGTTTAGATGTTGTCTTTCATATGATTAAAAATTGTGGGCACGTCCACGAGTGCAGCTGTGCAGTACGTGGCACTGCAAACACGTCTGCAGCACCACATACCACACACTGACGTGTTCTCCATGCTGCAAGGG